CCGGGCCGGGCCGGCGCCGGGGCCCCGGGCGAGCGGGCCTGTTGCACTTGCAGAGCAGCAGGACGGGGAGCAGCGTGTCGGTGAGGCCCGCGAGGTCCTGCCCGAGCCCCCGGTGTGAGCCTTGGGCCGGGAGGGAGATGCTGCACACGCACGGCGTGACCCTGCTGCACCGGCATCCGCGCCTGCTAAAGGTGAACGCTATTTCCAGCGTGTGACACACGGCTGGCCCTGACGCGCTCTTGCTGGAGTAAAGAAGTGCTGGATTTAGGGACTCGTATTAACGTGCATCATGAAATGGGGTTAAGCGAATGGCAGCGTTTATGAGTCTTTTACTGCGCGCCAGGAGTTGCTGGAAAATGTTTCTTTGTCAAAAAAAATGGGACACCTTCTACAGCTCTTCTTTGCTTGAAGTGAACAGAACTGGCAAGAGAAAAAGAAACCTAAAATTAAATCGCAGTGCTTTTTAAATTATTTTTTTTATTTTTGAAAGGTAACTGTTGCTGGTTAATGCAACTCTTGTGGTTAGTGATGTGACTGTCTCCTCCCTGGTTTGTTTTGTTTTTTTTTTTTTTTATGGCATGTGATGCTTTTATGAGAGGATAAAGGTACATTTGCTTTGGTATAGTCAGTGTGGAAGTTTAATGTCTCCAGTCGTAAGAGTGGACAGTGAGAATGTGGTGATTGAGGTATAATTGGTTAAAGTGGTACAACTTGCATTCAAGAAGCTCGTTTGAAGGGAGAGGCATGTCTCGCCAAAGACTGCTATCATAGTTGGAAGTAGTTAGCACTGATTTTGGCTGCTTCAGCAGGAAGGCAAGGGCGGAACGCGCTGATTTTGTCTCTTCGTTCCTCAGTCGGTAGTGTTTTAAATTGAGGTGTGCTAGCAGGTTAACGTAGCAGAGTTTTGCTTCCAGGTCCCATGCTATGTGTGTGTCTTGTATGTTTAACACAGCTTCATTTGTTGCTACTGTGCACCTGACAACTTCCGTGAGCAAGGTTATCTTTTACAAAACCTGTTGTTGATGGTTTACTTAAATATCCCTTAATTATTGTATCAGCTACTCTGTTACGTAATACCTGGTAGACGCTGATCAGAGCTGCCTGTTTGCACTTTCTGTCAATAATACTGAAGAAGAAATGTTAACAGTTTTCAACTAAACTGCTGCTTGCAGGTCAGTAGTTCAGGATTGCTTTAGTTTTAAATTGAGGATAAGCTTAAAGGGTGGTTGGAGATTACCAGGTGATCTGCCACAATCCATACTGCAGTAAAAATGAAATTAGCAATAATTCTAAAGTTGTAATCAGCATCTATGGATGATGATTTCGGCATCTATGGATGAGGATTACTTGTCTAAGTATCTAGGGAAACAGTATAAAATAACAAGCTTTTTTCATGGCAGGGATTTTCTTTTTTTATTTCTGTTGAATCACCTGATTATTATATTACCTGAAACTCCTTGTTACCTACGTTATCCCTAATTGCATTTTGGGGTGGGGAAGGCCAATCTTGAGAATATTTTGTAAAAAATATTATTTGACTCCAAAGCAAGTATCTCATTGCTTAGTGAGACTAATGGATAGCTAATTGATGACAAACTTTAACATTGTTCAGCTTATTTGCATGTAAGAAGAAAAATTGTGAAGGTACAGTGGGCTGATGCATGGTTGAAAGGTGGAGAGATTACCATACCACTAACTCATCATCTTTCCTCAAAAGAAAAAAATTCTGTGCTCCATGAGTAACGAGAGTTTGTTCTGGAGACCTCAAAGTTTGTCACGATTGTTTTCTGTTAGTGTGAAGAAACCACATACAAGCAGAAATATATTGGATTTCCAAGAGATGCCTGAGTCATCAGCATACCTTATTCAGAACTGTGGTTCCCAACATTGTTCATCGGATGTTTTCTTACTGTCATACAGGAAGTATGTGTCAAACTTCAGCAGTACTTGGAGATGTAGGTTTGTATTCATAAGTGCTCTAACTACAAACAGCCCATTTCTCACTGAAGCTAGCTTTAGTTTATTGTGTAGTTAAAGCATCTGGATCGTGTCAAAAGAAATTTTTTCTTTCATGTTTACTGGTCATCTTGACTCCTAGTTAAAACTTGTAATTCATCTCCTGAAGCAAATAATTAATCATGTTACTCTTGTTGCTCGCAGCTCTTGTGTGCTTCTCTTATGTCATTAGGTGTCTCTTGAGTTATCTGTAATGTTCATATTAAGACTAAAGCATGTGAATAAAGGTAAATGGCCTGGGAAGTTTTAAAAAAAAAAAAAAAAAAAATTCTGATTTTCCCCGGTCTGTATTTCGGTCGTCTGTATTTCCGTCCAGTAAAATACTTTTTATCAGGCATTTTGCTGCTGAAGAGCTAAGGCGTGTGTATCGCAGGATTCCCCGCACTCCAGGCAGTCCGGCACCGCTGATGTAGGGGCCGCTTGCACTGGTGCATGTGTACGTCCATATTTTTTTTTTTTTTCTTCTCATGGAGGAAGACCATCCCAGGCTGCCCATCGTGCTGTGCAGACCCTTCCCTCGGCCAGTGTCCTCTACACAGCGGGTTCAGTGATGGGGGTGGGTAAATGGTGATTTTTCTAGTAGTTGGAAAAAACGATGTGGAGAGGTTATACGTGTTTCAGCAGTGTGTCAGCTCTAAGTAATAATTATCGTGATGGTCATCTCGGAACAACAGACTGAAGAAACTGGATTTTAAAGGGTGATATTTAGCTGGCCTCTCAGCAATGTGTATTATCAAGTTCTACTGCTTCTGGAGAGAGACTGAGTGTTGGTTGATAACACGGATTTAAAGTCTGTTTTATCTGTCCTTTGGTTTCCCACACCCACTGTTATTTCAGACCTGTGATTCAGCAGCATATTGGCAAGTGTAATCACTGGAATAGCAGAAAAAAGGTGTGTCAGCTCAGCCCTTTTTTCTTTTTTTAAAAAGAAGCACAAACCTTTAAGGATATTTACGTCTCGAGATAATGTATGGTGTTAGGCAAGGTCTAATACTACTTACTTCCTCTCTTTGCTCTTTTTTGAGGTAGTAAGGAGAAAATTGTCATAGCACGTGTGTGTGCTTCTCCTCATGCCATGCATTTGATGTACTTATTATTGAAAAATTTTAGCTAATAATATGGTACGGACTGCTTTTCTTTCCTGAAGGCAATAGCCACTAACTTCTTAATACTGAGGTAGTTCATACAGAAGATGATAGTTGTATGTCTCCAACAATCAAAATAGGGATGTTGATGCAGTCCTGAATGGCAGGAGGTGATCGCATGGAATATCCACTCAGGACTTGGTACACAAGGCAAGTGTTCTGGGAGTTGTGCTCTTTTTTTTTTTTTTTTTTCCATCTCGATAGGTGGCAACCTTCCAAGGATACAACCTTCACAGTTTTTGTGTTTTGATCAGTTGAGTTCAGGGTTGCCTGACCGACCATTTGCCCGGTGGATCCAAGAGGCTGCAGGCTCGTGCTCTCATCCTACGGCCAGAGCTGCGCTTGCCTGTGACCAACATGCAGGTGTCCTCCCTTACCTCAGAAATGCACCCCGGGTCACGTAGTGGGGGTGGGTTACATATCTCCCCATGAATGGGCTGCATGTGTTTGGGTTGTGTGGCAGGCGGGCTGCTTGTGTGATGGGCTTGAATATGGGGGGTTATACCTGCTACTGCTGGTATTTAAAGCTTTATTGCCTCTTGGTGAGGGAGAGCAGAATAACCAGACTGGTTTACTGAAAATGTTCGTCCCAACCAAAGGGATGTGGTTGTGCCCCTGTACTCGGCCCTGGTGAGGCCGCACCTCGAATACTGTGTTCAGTTTTGGGCCCCTCACTACAAGAAGGACGTCGAGGTGCTGGAGCGTGTCCAGAGAAGGGCAACGAGGCTGGTGAGGGGTCTGGAGAACAAGTGTTATGAGGAGCGGCTGAGGGAACTGGGGTTGTTTAGCCTGGAGAAAAGGAGGCTGAGGGGAGACCTCATCGCTCTCTACAACTACCTGAAAGGAGGTTGTAGTGAGGTGGGTGTCGGTCTCTTCTCCCAAGTAACAAGCGATAGGACGAGAGGAAATGGCCTCAAGTTGCGCCAGGGGAGGTTTAGATTGGACATGAGGAAAAATTTCTTTACTGAAAGAGTGGTGAAACATTGGAACAGGCTGCCCAGGGAAGTGGTGGAGTCCCCATCCCTGGAGGTATTTAAAAGACATGTAGATGAGGCACTTAGGGACATGGTTTAGTGGGCATGGTGGTGTTGGGTCGATGGTTGGACTTGATGATCTTAGAGGTCTTTTCCAACCTCAATGATTCTATGAACTACTAAGTAATTGGCAAGACTTACTTGAAGTGCTGTAGAGTCACTCTTTTAGATACGCACATCTTGTTATTTATTTTAAAAAAAAAAGTTAATTAAAAAAGTTCATATTACATGTAGTTACACCTTCCACAGAGACTCCTGTTTGTATTTTCTGGATGCTGGAGCAAGGTGCAAAGTTCAGTGATCCAAAGTAATTTTGAAAGCTCTTGTCAGACTGATGTGCTAAATGCCTTCCGGTTTTGTGAATGTCCTGATGGGCTTTGGTGGGAGGGGTGTGTGTGCGTGTGGTTAGGTTTTTTGGGTGTTTTTTTTTTTTGGTAGCTATGCAATCCTGCTGAATCTTGGAATTTTTTTGTTGGTGTAATATGCTATAAATCTGTACCTTTCTGAAACCTTTAATAGCAGTTTAAAACCTGTTGCATTCTAGAAAACCTTTCACAAAAGTTCAGTAATGATTTTGATTGTGGTAGCAGGAGTTTAGAACTATAGTACTATCATTAGCATCTGTCCAAAATAATGTCTTTAAATATCTTTTGGTCCACACCTTGAAAGAAAAATACTGTTTCAGAACATGAAAACGTAACGTTTTTACATTTTCCTGTTAACCTTTTGTAATATTATTTTGAAATATCTTTAGTACTTCCTAAAAAAATATATATTTTTAGGATAACACTGTATCTACAACTACTAGGAGCAGCAGCTACAAAAGATGACAAAACCCATCAGCTTCTATGAAAAGGTCAAAAAGCAAATTACCCGTGTCTCAAAATAGAAAAATATTTCACATTTTTAAAAGTGCTTTATAAACCTAAGTGGGAGGATAATTGAACAGTTGCTTTTCTTGCACTCTTATGCCTGAAAAGGTATGTTAAGGCAGGA